CTAACTCTCCTTCAAAATAAAAGCATGTCCATAAATAGGAAGCCAAGCCAAATAACACAAATACATCGTGTTATTTACATGAACAAATAACTATAAAACAACAATCCTGTAGAATAACAAAATGAATGCCTTGAACCAACCGAAATACACGTGTTGAAGCGCACGACCACCCCCCGCGCCGAATATCCGAATATTTGCTGCTGATTACTGTTTCAATATGTATTGTGTACTATAGTGATAATAACGACACACTCTATCTTACTCTCACCTACTTTACTTGTAATGTTCCACAAGATACAATTCAACATCCTAGCCGTGCTAACTTCAGAACTGACGCTCATGCCTGGTCCCTCGGCTCCTGACGTCCCCGCGGGCCAGCTGTGCATCAACAAATAATGTCCCCCTGGCCAACGTATATTGCAACAATTACTACGGAATATCCGGAGTCCGAAATCATGCATTGATGGTTACCAAACCAACATAAATGATATAAATATGTGGTACAGGGGCTTATAGAGGCATTCATTCCTAAACAGCACATATATTGGCAGGGCATTTGGTAACAAATCTCAAAATTAAAAATCACATTATCTATAAGTGAGATATAAGTAACAACAACACTCCTCCTACAGCATCAAAACGAACAGGTTGATGTGTATGGGCTCAGAACAGTCTCATAATACACACATGCACACAAAAGGATTCACACTTGTATTTCCGGATCCACACTTGTGTTTTTCAATGCACACACACATGTGTTCCGTTTCATATACATGTAAATAAAATCCAAATACAGAAAAAACTTTTACATATGTATTTTTGATCCTCACATATTTGTTTTCCGTTTAAATCCTCTGAACCTGCAAACACAACCAGCTTTCTGTGCACGGATCGCTGTGCATTCGTGTGTGGGTTTTTGAGACTCCCCTGACGGTCAGCAGATTCGTACTTGTATTTTTTTCTATCTATAGCCAATCAGATGTCTCCTTCATTCTAAGCCAATCACATGAGCGCGTCCCCACGAGGGTATGATTTCTTGCGTTCATGACACTTCATATACGCATTTTGCGCTGTCCGGTCAGCTCGCTAAACAGAGGGCGGAGCATCAGGTGATCATGCAGAGCTGCGTGTCTCCGTCAGATTCAGCAGCTGATCTGATCTCTCTCTCGCGTCCGGTTATACTTCACTCGCGTTTATGTCCATATCGATCAGATCCAGCTCTCCTGATCGGCCCTTATAGAGAGCACCGATCAAACTATTAAGAGTGAATATCGGCCGATAATGACCGGCGGGGCTCCCCCCGTTGACAGTTCACTGTCTAGCACTGGCTTCGTGCACTGATCGATTAGGCTAAGCTAACCTGTAGCTGCTCCCTCCACATTCACAACAACTGCATACAGACATAAATAAAGCAGCTGTATTCGCCATACAGGAAACACACATTTAAAACGGTTTTGCCTGCCGTTTTTGTGTACACAAGCATTCATCAATGTTTCGGAAAGTGGCGCTGTACCTTAATAATATAAAGGCTTGTATTTGTATGCATTTCCTGTCCGGAAAGTGGCGCTGTACTGAGAGTGGAGGTATCCTGAGATTAGCGCCTGCAGGCAGGCTCCATGGAGCTGTCAGCTCCGGACTGTGCAAAATGAAGCGCTACGTCATGAACGCAATAAATCTACCCTCGTGGGGGCGCACTCATGTGATTGGCTTAGAATTGAGGAGACATCTGATTGGCTATAGATAGTAAAAATTACAAGTACGAATCGGCTGACCGTCAGGGGAGTCTAAAAAAACCCACACACGAATGCACAGCGATCCGTGCACAGAAAGCAGTTTGTGTTTGCAGGTTCAGAGGATTTAAACGGAAAACAAATATGTGAGGATCAAAAATACATATGTAAAACTTTTTTCTGTATTTGGATTTTATTTACATGTATATGAAACGGAACACATTTGTGTGTGCATTGAAAAACACAAGTGTGGATCCTTTTGTGTGCATGTGTGTATTATGAGACTGTTCTGAGCCCATAGATGGGGATCATGTCCATGTACTGTTCCCTGAGTGAACACCATCATTATGTCAACATCCCTAGAGGAGGACCGTAGAGGTGTGTGTGCAGGTGGAGCAGGGAGTGTGTCCATTTGAAAACAGGCTGGGTTTATGGTCAAACACTAAACCTCTTGTCCAAAACACCAACCAAGCAGTTCCTCCCTCCCGTCGTCTGATTATGAATTTAAAGCCCTACTTTTATCCATCAGCGTTCCCAAGAGCAGCTTTGATCATTCAGAGCCTCCCATTAGCCAATGTCCCTGTTTCTCTTCTTCTCCCCCTCTCTCTCAGATGTTCTAACATCTGTCTGTTTTTTTCTTTTGTTATTCTGAGCTCTTATCTTTCTGTTATTTGTACAACCCGACTCTGGAGACATGTGAGCGGAATGTGTTAACAATTAAGAGAGGAGACGGACTGAGGAAGCAGGAAGAGACAAAGACAATGACTAATTGTCAGAGCCGAGGCACAAGAGTGTCTTTGAAAACTCCTCCAATAAACTTGTTAAGATGTGGGGAGCAGGGGGATATTAACAAAACATAAGGGAGATGAACTCTGATGAACAAGAGATGAACAAGATATTAGTGAGTTAAAATATATCACACAACACGGAGAAAAGGAAACCGGAGAGTCAGGAACATGGTAAGTTCCATGCATGTAATAGTCATGCAACATGTGGCCAGATGGGCGGAGCCAGGTGAAACTTTCATAAGCAGCATCACACACCTCCTGTCTGCCTCAACACGATTAAAAATGCAAACCACACACACACACACCACACACACACACACACACACACACACACACCACCACACACCACACACACACACAACACACACACACACACACACACACACACACACACACACACACACACACACACACACACACACACACACACACACACACACACACACACACACACACAGGAGCTGTTAGGCAGAGGAGATAATTGGAAGGGGAGTTGAATGCGAGTGTGAAAGATATGGAGAGTGTGTGCGTGTCTTTCTCAGACAGACAGACAGACAGACAGACAGACACAGACAGACAGACAGACAGACAGACAGACAGACAGACAGACAGACAGACAGACAGACAGACAGACAGACAGACAGACAGACAAATAATTGATAATTAGTTTATTATGACCCTGAGAGAAGGCATGGGATCAGAAGTGGGACTGAGAACGGATTGGACCATTCTGTGTCATAAACACTGAGGACTGGGAGAGAGGGACAGACTGAGGACTGTGGTGTCTCCGCTCCACTGTGGGCGTCCCTCCTGCTGCACATTGACGCTCTGTTCCTCACAGCTGCATGGACGCTTCTGAATATTACTATTATAAAGAGCTTTAAGACGGCGATGATGCAGGATCCTCCATAGCACCACAGTTAAAGCCATATCTGAACACTGGACTGCCTCATGCCTACTGATGCTTATCATACATGTGTTACATCATTGCAAGAAGGAAAAATCAGCATCAGAAATGTATTCAGTCTCAAATAACAGCTAAGGGCTATTGTTTATGACCAACGGCTGTTCATTTTAAGAGCACATTGTCAGAGTGTCATGGTAACCCCTCAACTGCTCTAAAGTCCTGTAACACAAACACTCACTTATTATGTACAGTTGCTTTACAGAGAGTCCTGCTGCATGCTGTGTAGCAGTGTGTGTTCACAGAGTGTTCACACAGTGCCACAATAACCAGCTGTAACTCTGGAGAACCTGCCTTATAGTCTGACTTCTGGTCTGAGGCAGCCAACTCTTTCAATAACAGAACCAGAGGTGAGAGAAGTACTCAGATCTTGTACTGTAGTAAAAGTAGAAGTACTCAGATCTTGTACTGTAGTAAAAGTAGAAGGACTCAGATCTTGTACTGTAGTAAAAGTAGAAGGACTCAGATCTTGTACTTGAGTAAAAGTAGAAGTACCAGAGTATAGGAATACTCTGTTACAGTAAAAGTCCTGCAATACAAGCCTTTATATTATTAAGGTACAGCGCCACTTTCCGAAACATTGATGAATGCTTGTGTACACAAAAACGGCAGGCAAAACCGTTTTAAATGTGTTTTTCCTGTATGGCGAATACAGCTGCTTTGCCGTAAGTGAAAGTAGAAAAGTATTATCATCCAAATATAGTTAAAGTAGCGACAGTAAAAGTAGTCATTGTGCAGATTGGTCCATTTCAGAATAATATATATGATATGTTTTATAATGATTGATCATGAAAGTGTTCTCAAAGCTGGTGAAGGTGCAGCTAGTTTGAATGACTTTGTATACTGCAGGGTAGCTTGTGGATTTACTCCAGGTGGAACTAAAGTCTGATTCAACACTTGATTAGATTTCACATCATTCATCCACATCTGTGAAGTAACTAAAGGTATTAAATACATGTAGTGGAGGAAAAGTACACAGCATAACATTGAAATACTCAAGTAAAGTACAACTGTCTCAAAATTGTACTTACTTACTTTACACCTCTGCAGAGCACAGGAAAAAACTGAACTAAATAAGATGCTGCTCATATTCAGAGTTAATATCCAAACAATGTGTGTATTCAGTCCGCAGTGTGATAACGGGAGCATTCACTTTGAGATCACTCACAGTAACTTATGCTACTCTATTGTTGCCACTCATCAACCCAACAGAGGTTAGATGAAGGACTCCATCTGAAAGTGTTTCAGTGACCTTTCCAATCAGTACCCAGATTTTACATTACATGTTACTTGTTAGACGCTTTTATCCAAAGCGACTTACATACTCAATACTGTGGGCAATCCCCACAGGAGCACTTTGGGGTGAAGTGTCTCAGGGACACAACGACATGCTGACTGCAGTGGGGTTTGAACCTGCCCCCTGATCCCAACACCAACGTACTAGTCCACTACACCACAGCCTCCCTAGATCAGAGTGATACAATGCTGCAGGGTGAGTCTGAGAGCAGAGAGACTTACTGTTCGTTCACCACAAAGATGCAGTTGTCCTGGGAGGGGGCGCCGGACACCGGGTGCTTACAGGTCACCTTTCTCTCATTGTGGCTGCAGGGAGAGAAAACAGAATGTCAGACAGAGACAGCGTGAAGTCGCCACAACTACACCCAAATCCAACCAAAGCATATTGAAGTACCACATCAGCGTCATAACACACACACTTTTCAAAAAATCACACCACAACCACACTCAGCCACACACCTGCAGCGGGGGGTGGTGCTAAACTTCAGCATAATGTCCTGATTGGGTCTAAGGAGGAAGGTATCGGGGCTGACGAGCATCAAATACAGACTCTGCAGCGTGTGGTGTCTGTTTGTCCTCAGCACTGAGGAGACCCTCCCCGCCCTCTGCCTCACTGCCACTTCCTGCCTCCCCCGTCCCTCCTCTTCCTCTTGTCATGTTCTTTCATTCATTCACATTTGAGATATTAAGTAGGGCATTAAAGTGCAATTTTAATAAATTCATTCGTATTAAATTCTTTATTTAGTTGATGGATTTATTTGAATGAAACACTAGTTACAGTGTTGGTACACCCCCTCGTTTCTCTCTCTGTTTTTCTCCCATACTTTTTGATCATCACTCGTCTCTATCAATCTTTTTCTTTTTCTCTTCCTCAGTTTTCATTCCTCCTTTATACTTAATATATTTTTCTTGCTTTCTTACTTCCTACGTTTTAATGTTCTGCTTAATCTCCCACTCTTTCTCCCCCCCTGCTGCTTCTCTCTCAGTCATATGCTGCATCACAAGAAGTCTGCTGACTCCTCCACCCCCCTTTCAAATAAAGGAGAATTTGTTATCAACCCTAAAAACACGATGATGACGATGAAGGTGGGGAGAATCAACTGTCAAACACACACACACACGGGAGGAATTGTGGAACACGTGTTAAACACTCTCACTTTCAAACATGGCCTATTGCCAATTATTATAAACTCAAGTGAACTACAGTCAGCCACATCTCACATCTGACAGCACAGCACTTAAAACAAATTACATTTAAGAATTCAAAATGTCTTTCTAGGAGCCATATATCCAGGTATTTTAGATCATTCATAGACTTGCTGCCATTTTCAGAAAAGAATGGATCTGCATAGAAACATGGGGATTTAGGAGAGACCAAGCCAGCTCTCTATTACCACCTGTGTACAGTCTTACACTTCAATTATATATATCACACATATTCTGATCAGCCAAACAAACAGGGGAGCAAAGTGAGAACCCCTAAATAAACCCAGTGTGGTCTGTGTGTGTGTGTGTGTGTGTGGGGGGGGGGGTTTACATGATTTTCACCCACATCTGGAGAGGCCAGATGTGCAGGAGGGAGGAAGGGGGGGATTCTTGTACTACTTAAGTTCCCTGCATCTGGAGGAAAGCCATGGCAGAGTCCAGCTGGCATAATCAGAGTTTAACACACACACACACACACACACACACACACACACACACACACACACACACACACACACACACACACACACACACACACACACACACACACACACACACACACACACACACTTGTGACTCAAAATCATAAAGGAGAAAACGCCTGCTTGTGCGACTAGTCTATCTTTTTAAATAAAAAAAGTTGCTAGGAGCAGTAGCACATCTGCCTCTGATAACAAAACGGCACTTCATAACAAACGATGTGTTGTAAAGAAAGCATCAGGGCGGCTTTCTGCTCCTCACACTCAGATGCAGCGACACACATCACAGCGCTGCGGTGTGTGAACAGATCTGGTGTCAGCTTTGCCTATTGAAGGTTAACTGAAGTCACATCTCTGCCGTCCGCTCTTACCCTGCACAGCTCAAGAAAGCTCCGATGAGACACCTGCAGCCTTCATCAAAGACACACACTGTCATCATTATACCTAGGCACACGCTGCAACATGAGCAGCTTCATGTGACGACAGAGTTCAGTTTGAACCAGGTCTCTGCTGCAGCCTCTTATTTAGAAAGACACCCCCACACACTCATCCAACGCAGCATCATGCTAAGTTGTTGCTCAGCAGCCAAATAACTGAGCGTAGCTTTAATGATTGATGTGAAACATCAGTTGATGTAGACGTGCTACACTGAGAAACACAAACGGTCCTTTGCATGGCTTTCCCTCAACCCCCCATTGGAAGAAATAAACACCAAAGAAACTGCAAGCTGTCAATCATTTGTCATAAAAAAACACCAATGTCACATTTTAAATGTTTATATAATAGGTGTTTATTTAAAGGGAGACACGCTCCCTTTCTATTTTTGATTGATAGCAGATGACAGGCTGTCAAGCCAGAGCCTGGAGATGTTTAATTCAATGGCTGTGTATTCTAAGCAGTCATTTGACAAACTAGAGAGGATACAGCAGTCTGGTGTGGAACCATGTCCACCCTGAGAAGAGGCCAAGAATGCATACACAGCACTTTCATGGTTTCAATAGAAGAGAACATAAGAGATACAGGGAGGCTAGAGGATATGGAGAGGATGGAGGTGAGAAACAAGCTGTAAATTAGGAAGGCCAAGACGGGGAGTAAACAGAGAGAACAGAGAGCCAATCACAGCAGCTGCTGCTCGGGCTCCAAGCTCATCTCATTGGAAATATGTCATGATGTAAAACATCTGTATTGGTAGCAGTGTACAGTATGTGATGAGCAGGACATTTTACAGAGATCAACTACAGTGTGGTGGACACCGGATCCTAATGACCTCACAAATTGACTGTATCTGCAGTATGCTAACATCAGTAAGTACAATGGTGACGGTTTATTGGTGTAACCATGCTGGGTGTATGATTGTGACTCAGCAGCAATTGTATCCATTGTCTGTCAGGCAGATACAAAAATGATTCACATGATGCAACAACTTTAATCATGTTGTAAAACACACACACACATACAACACACACTATTGAACAATAGTACAATAGTAGCTCATTAGTCCTCAGTGTGGACAAACGTGCTTCTCTTTAAATGCTATGTGAAAAAGCCACCCTGTGGTCAGTGTGTGGGTCTGTGGGTCTGTGTGTGTGTGTGTGTGTGTGTGTGTGTGTTGTGTGTGTGTGTGTGTGTGTGTGTGTGTGTGTGTGTGTGTTGTGTGTGTGTGTCTCCCTGCAGACAGGCTGCCATTCACCATTCCTCCCTCTGGCCGGGACACTAACCTTTCACAGCCTGTCCTCCTCCAAAAAACGACCAAATAGGTCGATTGTTCAACAGCTTATTACGACCTATAGTCACGTTTTAAAGTTTAGCACCTCTAGTGGTCGTGTAAGAAACAACAATTTGAGGCATATGGGGATATTGTACTTATAGAATCCACGTCCAGTGGATGTGTAGGATCTATAGTTTGATAGATATTACGAAGATTATTTGAGGTCTTGCCAGGAGAACGTGTATATACTACGTCTTTCCCCCTATTAATTTCTATTGACCAGTGTCCATGTAAAGTTAGCGTCAACTCTCACCGAGTGAAAACAGTATTTCTGGTCTCAAAGTTTTCATAGTAAAACCGGAAGTATTCCCCTGACTGTCAAATGATTACACAGTGATATCTGCAGTACTCATCCACTAAAAAACATCAGTTTATCCTTGTTAATTACACAACGTTGATTGGTTTAAATTGTGTACAATGCTTTTGTGTTTTTCCCTTTAGATTCTGAGAGACACATTTCATCAAAACATCTAATTACCCATAATCCTCAGCTATGGTTGAAGCTCTGTGATTGGATGTTTTAGCCGCAATGCACGTTGGGATATGGTGTTTATGCGATATGCAAATACTGAGTTTGAAAGAATAGTCAGGGGATTTGGGTGATGGGAGACACATCTCTGGAATCAGATTTTCAATAGCTTACCGTTAAATGTGTAGAACTACAATATGTGAAACAATATAGCAATATCCTGTACAATTATGTGAAAACACGAATAAAACTACACATCTTCAGATGTTATACATACATAAGTGTCCTACACTAATAATAAAAAGTTATTATGGCATTGTATGCTGTGTGTACCTTATTTGTAACATCTTCAGTCTCGGTTTCTTTCTCTGATCAATAAGATGAGAGTTATTGTGTTGCAGAACCTGATGAGTTCAGGAGGGTTTCTGAAGATGTTAGGTTAGATGTTGTGCACCGTTATGGTGTAAATATAGCCTATCTACCAATTGGATTAAGTATAAAAGTCACCCGAATTAGTATTGATACTGCAAGGAGACGTATTGTGTGAAGAGAAATTGAAGATGTTGTTTAATTGCTGATATATTTATGACCCACGTCATGTATTCAGTTTCTGTGGCAGTTCTTCCAGTTTGTCCAGAAGTCTTCTAATCAGGGCTCTATAAATAAAGAACTACCGTGTATTACAACAGTTATGCGATGACTTTCAAAGAGAAAAGTAAGCACACGCGGAATAAAGTATTATACATTTTTTTTTTAATTTCATATAGCATAAACACCATATCCCAACGTGCATTGCGGCTAAAACCTCCAATTACAGAGCTTCAACCATAGCTGAGGATTATGGGTAATTAGATGTTGTCGGCTATCAAAACCTCTGAAAAAATAAATGTGACTCTCAGAATCGAAAGGGAAAAACACAAAAGTATTGAACACAATTCAAACCAATCAACGTTGTGTAATTAACAAGGATACACTGATGTTTTTTGGTGGATGAGTACTGCAGATATCACTGTGTAATCATTTGACAGTGAGAGGAATACAGTTTTATTATGAAAACATTGAGACCGGAAATACTGTTTTCAGCTCGTGAGGGTTGACGCTAACTTTACATGGACGCTGGTCAATAGAAATGAATAGGGGGAAAGACGTAGTATATACACGTTCTCCTGGCGAGACCTCAAATAATCTTCGTAATATCTATCAAACTATAGATCACACATCCACTGGACGTGGATTCTAAAAGTACAATATTGTTACGGTGTGTGAAGCAGGTAGGACCCAAATGCAGATTAACGTGAACATTCCTTTATTTCAAGGCTATACTAACAAAGACAGAACACAACACTCACCGAGGACAAGCCAAATCACAAGACAAACCGACACT